TCTGTGTGTGAGTGTATGGGTCTGTGTGAGTCTATGGGTCTGTGTCTAAGTCTATGGGTCTGTGTGTGAGTCTATGGGTTTGTGTGTGAGTCTATGGGTCTGTGTGTGAGTCTATGGGTCTGTGTGTGATTCTATGGGTCTGTGTGTGAGTCTATGGGTCTGTGTGAGTCTATGGGTCTGTGTGTGAGTCTATGGGTCTGTGTGTGAGTCTATGGGTCTGTGTGAGTCTATGGGTCTGTGTGTGAGTCTATGGGTCTGTGTGTGAGTGTATGGGTTTGTGTGTGAGTCTATGGGTCTGTGTCTAAGTCTATGGGTCTGTGTGTGAGTCTATGGGTTTGTGTGTGAGTCTATGGGTCTGTGTGTGAGTCTATGGGTCTGTGTGTGAGTCTATGGGTCTGTGTGAGTCTATGGGTCTGTGTGTGAGTCTATGGGTCTGTGTGAGTCTATGGGTCTGTGTGTGAGTCTACGGGTCTGTGTTTGAGTGTATGGGTCTGTGTGTGAGTCTATGGGTCTGTGTGTAAGTCTATGGGTCTGTGTGTGTCTATGGGTTTGTGTGTGAGTCTATGGGTCTGTATGTGAGTCTATGGGTCTGTGTGTGAGTCTATGGGTCTGTGTGAGTCCATGGGTCTGTGTGTGAGTCTAAGGGTCTGTGTGTGCGTCTATGGGTCTGTGTGCGAGTCTATGGGTCTGTGTGTGAGTCTATGGGTCTGTGTGTGAGTCCATGGGTCTGTGTGTGAGTCTATGAGTCTGTGTGTGAGTCTATGGGTCTGTGTGTGAGTGTATGGGTCTGTGTGAGTCTATGGGTCTGTGTGAGTCTATGGGTCTGTGTGTGAGTCCATGGGTCTGTGTGTGAATCTACGAGTCTGTGTGTGAGTCTATGGGTCTGTGTGTAAGTCTATGGGTCTGTGTGCGAGTCTATGGGTCTGTGTGTGAGTCTATGGGTCTGTGTGCGAGTCTATGGGTCTGTGTGTGAGTCTATGTATGTAGAACTTCTTTCGCATCACACGTAGCCAACCGTGCTAATCGGAGGTGCCGGGAATCTCCCTCAAAGCGGGAGATTTCCCCTAAACCCATTTTCTTGGTTTTTTTAAACGTGCGAATAGTTAAACGTTCGAATCAGTCAATTCAAATGCAACCGTTGCTGCAAATGATGAGGAAAATCCCATCCATCGCTACAGGAAAATACGCTGTACAATGGCAGGCTGGAAATAGAGAGATTTCACAACACGCAAAAGATGTGTGCTGCTCACAAACTGCAGGTCTGACTCATCCGTACACCCCTTGCTGCATGCCATGAATTCGCCACAGTGCTGCTCTCAGCCTTGTCCAGACCACCGGTTCAGTAGAACTGGACACGCAGCTGTATTTGGCTACAGACTCCCGACCCCTCCCATGCGTCATTGTCATAGGCAGCCCATAAAGCAGCGCGATCATCGAGGTGAGATGGGGTTTTGTGAAGTCTGTGATCCCAGTTTGGTGTCCCGACAGATTGTGGAGGTGAAGGAAAAATAAATGTGGATTTCAAAGAACCCATACAGAATATAAAGAATGAAAGTATTTATCTCGCAAATAAATTTGCAAGGAAATGTCTTGTTAATAAAATTAAACCCACGCATTCACTCACACAAGCAGTGTTACTGTTTATCTTGTAAGTTATTTTTAAACCTCGTGGTAAATACGGTACGTTTCACATTGGCAAGTGTTTTAGTTATGGAATTTTCTCGAAAAACATCATGAAGCTACCTTCACTATAATTTACTTTGTAGTAAAAAAAAATGCGAAAGGTAGAAATATAATCAGCAGGGCCCTTAAAATTTAAACAAATCTGGTAGATCAACACCCGATAGAAAGCCGCATCACGCACAAAGATCCCCCGTGTAGCCTTAACAGACTGCTGGGGCAAGTGCTGTTAGCAAACACCTATGAAGGCAGGCACGGCAAACGAGGAGGTGGGTGGCCAGCACCACACCCGGCCACCTTTGTATCTCAAGTGGCGATTTTAACACACTGTACCAGTTACTGTACTAATTTAAGGCTGAGTCTACCTAGGGGATGCCCAGCACCGCTTCACTGGTGTGTTGGTGGCCGTGAGCAGGAACCGAACTCATGTCGCTGGAGTTCGTAGCACACAGCACGCTAACCGCTTGCGCTCCCTACAACCCTGCCTTGAAGCTACAGGCAAAACCGAGCGTGCGTTCCGAACGGACATCAGCCCATCAGCCGGCTGTCGTAGAAAGCTGTGGCCCCATCTTGTGTCGGTCTCGCTCAAGTGCAGGCACATCGCCGTCTCGATCCACTGGTACACTCCCCAGCATTGCCGCGAACGTAGGTGGACGTCGCTCACGAACTACTCTACCCCACAGTATGAATAAAGTCAAGGACTTGCACACACCTTCAACATATCGAACATCGGGCTGGGCAACAATGCTCGTGTGCACGCGTGATAAGAGCAGAGTGCCGGGCGGCTATACCGCAGCAAGTTGGTACAATAGGGGGCACAGGTGATGCACCCGCCAGTCATCTCAGTCGGTCAACCCATGGCACCTGAATCTGTCCCGTGACCTCCTGCCGGCAGTGAGCCTTCAACACTTCACGTGGCCTCACAGTGCACCGAGCCTGGCACAGACGCCACGTTGGCGTCTCCGCCACTTACATGGACTACACAGCGATGGGGGCCATCGCTTGCGTGAGATGCACACCTCCAGGAGTGATGTAGCACAAAGAGTAGGAGGGAGAACAGCAAGTAGGGTTTGATGCACCGTGGGAGGTTTTCCTGCCTAAAAGTACTTGTAGAAGGTGCCTTGTCTCAAAGAAAATTAAGATTTTTGAAGTGCAGTTGGTGGATAGAATTTTAGGTGCCGTCAGGGCAATATCCCACAGCACTACAGTTTTAGGAACCGAGGGAGTTTAATCACCCAACCCCCAAAAATATTCAAACATAAAAATGTATACCATGTTATCAATACTTGAAGCAATGATCAAACATGTTTTTACAGAAGGAATGGTGCAGGGTTATTGGAGGATTAATGACAAAATAAGAAATGACAACTCAGGTCCGTTGTAAAAAACCCTTCAAATTTATGTGCAGAAACCAATGTATCATACTATGAGAATAACGTTTTGCTGGCTGGCCGACTTCCCGGCTGGGGTGAGCGTAGGTCACCCACATCCCACAGCGTTGGGCCGGATTCGAATATGGCACTGAAGTCGCGCCTCCAGCCTACCCACTCTCCACCCTAGTAGTGTACGCCATCATACGGGTCACGTACAAAGGACGTGCATGCTGCTAGTCAAGTATATAATAAGAAATATATCTTTCTTCATTTTACGGCAAATTATCAACACATTTCCTCATGCACGTCTTTTTTCTCGAGACACTTCACTCAGTAGTTTGTTTTGCAGAGACGAGACGCGAAATTCCGTGCCTGTGCAAATAAGCAGGGAAATACTAAAAAGTTACAAAATAACGCAGAACGCTCACCGGAATGTATGAAACGTACGCCGCAATTGAAACGAGAAAATTATTCTAAACTCAAGCAACGCATGCGGTTTTCACAAGTTTCAACAAACTATTTATTGTTTTTTTGTCACTTCCACGAGGCATAAAACAATTTTGTTCCAACAAAAAAACACAAAGCAAGAACCACTACCAACAATATGTAGCTGTAATACGAAAAAAACACACGGCACTTTGTGTTTCCCAGAAAAAAACATTAACTTTTGCAGCAAAGCATTCGGCAAACTTACGTTAAAATTACGTTTTCAACGACTTTGTACTTTTTCGATTTAAAGCTTTCGTGACTGCAGGGATTCATCTTATTGGTTCTTTCGGTAAAGTCACGTAGAAGGGAAATAATAAAATTATAAAAATAAAACAATAAAAAACACTCACGACGTTTCGGCCACAACACAAGTAGCCTTCCTCAGGTGAAGAAACATAACTGTCGGAAAGACAGCGCTCCAATGAACACTGCTAAGCTTGGAAGCGTATTTTAAGCTGGGTGGGAGGAGCAGAGCGCCTTGACAAAGGAGCTTACATATCAACAGAAGAATTTAGCATTGAAGTAGCTGTGTTAATGTGAGAGATTAGCAGGATGTTAAAGTCAGAAATTACCATGTAACTGGGAGATTAGCATGTTAGTGTGAGGGATTAGCAAGTAACTGGTCACGGAAGTAGCTATGTTAAAGTCAGAGTTTATATATCAACAGAGGCATTTAGTATATTGACGCTAAATAACTGCAACTACCGAACTATCATACAATAAACCGATGTGAAAGAACTAAATATAAACTACATCAATATAATCAATGTACTCAAAATATTCTCCAATAAGCTGAGCTATTAACATAAAGTAACTGGGTATACACTACACTATTTAATGAATACCATATAGTAAACATTGTAATGTATAATAACTTGTTAGTAGCTCAGCTGATTGGAGAGTATATTGAGTTTATTGATAATATTCATGTAGTTTATATTTTAGTTTTTTATCAGTTCACTATATGGTATTCATATTCTTGGTTCTTATGGTAAAGTCACGTAGAAGGGAAACAATAAAATAAAAAATATAAAACAATAAAATTACTACGGCGTTTCGACTGCAACACAAGCAATCATCATCAGGTGTGAAAACCACAGCAAGAAAATTTGAAAAAAGTAGCAGTTATTTTTAACGTTAGCTAACATTAGCTGATGATGATTGCTTGTGTTGCAGTGGAAACGTCGTGATAATTTAATTGTTGTATCATGCTAATCTCCCAGTTACATGCTACTGACTTTAACATCCTGCTAATCTATCACATTAACACAGCTACTTCAATGCTAAATTCTTCTGTTGATATGTAAACTCCTTTGTCAAGGCGCTCTGCTCCTCCCACCCAGCTTAAAATACGCTGCCAAGCTTCGCAGTGTTCATTGGAGCGCTGTCTTTCCGACAGTTGTTTCTTCACCTGAGGAAGGCTACTTGTGTTGTGGCCAAAACGTCATGAGAATTTTATTTAGTTTAATTTGTATTATTTCATTATTTCCCTTCTACGTGAATTTACCGAAAGAACCAAGAAGACTTCGTACATTTTCAGTTCTAAACTAGGATATGGATTCGAACTGAACGGCACTAAAAAAAACGCAAGTCAATCTTTTCCACAAAAATGCTTCACCTTTACGGGAAAACGTGACAGAGCAAAGCGCCACACCGATGCACATTGGTGTGGACCAAGCGGTGCAAGTGTTCAAGAGCTCGAGCCTTTGATCTCCAGTGCATGTCCATGCTGTGTTGGAAGAGATAAGAAAAAAAATATATACATCAATTACATCAACTTCAAGAAATCTGCACACTCTTATCAGGAGTAAACTACAGCAAAACACGCTTTGTTATCCGCCACTTTACCATTCGGAACGCTCTAATAACCGGCATCTGTCATAGACGACAACACAATTCTTCCTTCACGTATCCGTAAAAATTCCGACAGCCACCGACATCTTGCCGTGCGCTTATCGTAGATCTGTTGTTGTTGATCTTCAGGATGCTGCAGAAGTGGTGGTGCTCGCGGCAGTCTGTACATACAGTATTGCACTACTGTATACTGCACTCTAAACGGCCCCACTGCTTCTCTGCAATCAACTTAGAATGCTGGACAACTCACTGGTGAGTACCTTTGTAAAACAGATTGTTATTTATTATATCGTAGTCGAAACGTAGGCTTAGTTTATTTATTTAAAAGCTTTATGTACTTGGTAAATTTATGTAGAACTTTTTTTGCACCGTACGTATCCAACCGCGCTAATCGGAGGTGGGGGGGAAGGACAACAAATTAAACACAAAAAACAGTGCAAAAAAGATTCGTTTTCAATCTATATTTAAAAGTGCATAGGTCCAGTGGCTTCCTAATATGGAAAGGAAGAGCGTTCCAGACGGGCACAGAAGCGCACCTTGAAGCGCGTGCTGCAGCGAATGGCTTTGTTCAATAGCCAAAAGCCACTGCGAGGCTAACCGGAGTTCGCGTGATGCTTTATGCTCCTTGATGAGATGAGCAAGGTATTGTGGTTAATTTGCGGCAAGTACTTTGCATAATGAGAGAGGCCTCATATAATGTATTAGTTCGGCAACTGAAAGCCAACGCAGCACGGCCGCATCATCGCATGGCGATGGGACTTTATGACAATGCTCACCGGCTTGTTAAGCACCACGTCGTACTTGGGCAGGGAGAGCTTGACCCAGCAGAGGGGGCTGTACAGATAGTTAAGCAGAAGCTCACGCGAGTAGACGATCCTGCCTTGAGAAGGCAGTCGCACACACACAGGCACGCAGCAGCAACAGCAACACAGAAGGGTTTCAATAGAGAAGTTCGGTGAAAAAATCTCTTTGCGCGGCCTCTTTTGCGAAAGCATAAGGCTCTATGCTGTGGGATTTCCAAATAGCATGATGCCGATAACACAACTGGCATACATTTTGGGAGACGTTAACTACCCCGCCTGGTATACAGGTCGTGGATTCAATCCCGATCCTGACGCCTGTAATTATTGGAGTTTGCGTGCTCTCCCCGTGGTCGTGTGGGTTTTTCTCCAGGTCCTCCGGTTTTTCTCTCCACATTTAGAATCAATGTGCCCTTAAGAGTAATTTGGCTGCTGCTATACATTTCCACATAAGCCACTTCATTGAGCTATCACTTGTGGCCAGGTTGCTTCTGAAAAAGAGCCATTTAGCTCAGTGGGCCTTACCTTGTAAAATAAAAAAAAGTTTGAGTTCATATATAAAAAATATTAAGTGATTGCACGGTCACATTGAAGCACATGCTGCTAGTCATCGCACTGCTTTGTAACACGAATAGACAATACAGTAAAGTATCGCAATTTTTGGCAAGAGTTATTGTTCAGAAAACACAGAAAATATTTCACAAAGTTTAGTTAGTTTTCAAAACATTTTTTAATAATCCTATGTTGTTGTTATTGCGTTGTTGTTCTTGTTGGTGTTGTTAAACACGGGGACCTATAATGAAGGAACTGTACCATTCTTTGTGGGAATGTCTTCCGCATCTCCAACCTGCACCGGTGCCGTCGCCAGGCTCAAATAGCCGTAAAGGCAGTCCAGCGGCGACGCGTGACCCAGCGTATTATGGGACGCACGGTGCTCACTGGGAATCGCAGCTCCTGTACGTCAACACACATTTACGAAACAGTTAAAAGAAAATTTACAATGAATTGAACAAGGGGGTTCACTGTGCTTTACAAGATATGTAAAAACACACAATACACGTAGAATATGAGAATATATTCAGCATTCGCTCATTATCCCATCAGCCCATCATCAACTCTGGTGATGACTAAACAAGTATCACTTTGTGGGAAGTCAACAGCCACTCTTCTTTACAGTATTACAGGAAAAGTTTATCTTTTTTACAATTAGCATAAGGCCAGCAAAAGATATGAACACAACCGAATGCTTCGAGCTTTACCGATATTGAAAATAACATTGAGGCAAATCCGATAATATAAAAAGTGTAAAATAAACACATTCTGATTACTTTCACGCGAAATAAAACCCAATTGAAATATAAACAGGTCCCTGCAGGGTGGGCTGGTAGGACAAGTCTCTGCGCTGTCTATTGCTGATTTTACACCCAACAGCACGAGATTTCACTTCGTTAAAGTATTGAAAGGGGACGGACGGACGGACACATTAATCTATTGCAGGCTGGTACACTCAGTTTACAACTTCGTTCCTACCAGTAAAAGTCACGTTTCAAGCAGAAACGTTTGTTTTTAATAAAATACAGTAAAACCTTGGATTGCGAGTAACTTGGTCTACGAGTGTTTTGCAAGACGAGCAAATTTTTTAAATAAATTTTAACTTGATAATCGAGCGAGGGTCTTGCAATACGAGTAGTACGTATACGCTTTGTCTGCCGAGCGTCACGTGATCACAACTGAGCCGATGGTTCTTCTCTCTCTCGCTGCGGGATTGTGGGTAATCGTCTCCCATGCTCGGTTTCAGTCGGCGTGCCTCACTCGTATAGTCAACATCTGTGCGAGCGTATACTGTTCACTACAGTACTATAGTGTTGTGACCACGTGTGTGCGTAAAGCATTTTTTTGTGTCCAAGTGTAGTGACTGTTCTTTAGAAAAGCACCACCCGAATAAGGCTGTAGCAGTGCGAGCGATTAATCTGTTTAACGACATTGCAATGTCACATTTCCACGAAGTCCTCAAAAGGAGGCAAAAGCAAGTGTCATTGGATAGGTTCCTTGTTAAAGTCGCACAAAAAGAAAAAGATTCCAGTGAGCCAACAGATAGCAGTGATTCCGTTAGTGACAGTGAAAGTCGTCCTACACAATAACCCTCCTCTCCTCTCTTGTCTCCCCCACACCAGCCACGATTAAATTTAATTAATAAATTTGATTACTTTATATTCAATTTAAATTATATAAAAATATAAAAGGTATTTTGTATTAATCATTTTTACATTAATATTTGTGGGTTGTGGAACGAATCATCTGAGTTTCCATTATGTCTTATGGGGAAATTCGCTTTGAAATACGAGTGCTTTGGATTACAAACACGTTTCCAGAACTAATTATGCTCGCAATCCAAGGTTTTACTGTATATGGAACATTAGGAAAGTGTTTTGTAAAATTCAGCAGAGGCTTGTGTGTGTTATTGGCCTCAGATTTGTGTTAATTACCTTCCTTGGCATCTCTGAAGCAGTCATGGATGACTAAGGCCTGTGAACGAAAAAAAATATTCACGTAGTTTTGCCGTGAATGTGAATACAACCCATTTTAAACGTACGTTCCACGATTTCCCATAGATGTGGACCGTTATTGGGATCCAAACATACAGCTGGAGTCTTAAAGTGTATTTAGTTTAACTTAGGAAAGCCTCATCGCCGAGTCAAAAGACACCTTGAGGAGGGTCCTACCAAGTTTTTTTTGCAGCAGGGGAATGACGTTGAGCAACACGCAGGGAATTGTTCATAAATGGCAGGCTCCGGCCCTTGCCAGTGTGACACTAAGTTTTCTTTAGGTGTGGGAGGAAATCCGGAGAAAACCCATGCAGAACAGTAGGGGGAGAATGTACACAATCCACACGGAAAGGCACCTATACAGGAATCCCTAAATTTACGGAAGGGATGCATTCTTCAAAAAGGACAGGCGAAAAAACAAAATGTCGGAAATCTTAACGGCTTTTGCCATCCACGGAGTACTGAAAACTAGGGATGTTTCAGACCATTATTCCAACTCTACCCCTTGCCTAAAATTATAGACCTATATCACTTTTCACAATACAAAACAATAATAATGAACATAAATATTAAAACGATTGAATAATAGTTAATACAAAAAATCCTCTTCAGGGAACTCGCTAAAAGACCTGCATGTTGGAATGGACTGGAAAGGTGCTGTGGACGTGTTGCTGTTGCACCGTGGGGACACCGTGACGACACTGTGACGCTGTGGCTGATCGATCCCATAGCCTCCTAGGTGGTTAATTTAATGATCTCACGCCGCGTGGCCGCAGTGAAATTTCGTAAATGCGGAAATTCAATTTCGTTAATCGAAAAGTGTCTGTAATTTGTCAATTCATTAACGCGAAATTTCCGAAAACCCAACGTTCGGAAATCAAGGAATACCTGTATAGGGAATAGAACCCAGGTCCCTTCTGGCCGTGAGGCACATGTGTTACCGCCACTGCGTCACACTGCCACCCATTGTGTTTATTAAATGTGTAATGATTTGACTTCAGAATATTTTTTTCACAGGCACAATACTTTCAAGCACCTTAGCTTTTGCCCGCCGATCCATGAATATTTTCCGCCGAATGTCTTGCTCTGTGTAAACGCATTCCTCCAAGGCTGTGTCTGTTGATTGGAAAAAAGCTAAATATCAAAACTCAATTCAAAATACAGACCACCACATTCTTACACACTGTGCTGTGAGAGTATTGCTTGTTGCATGTGACCGTGAAAGTGATATTTTTAATGCTCAGAGCTGGAATTTATCCAACTTAAGCACAGAACCAAACTTTTATGTTTTTTTCGTGCAGTCATTTGTGACCCTCAACTTACTACAAATGAGAAGCGCGTTTTAATTCCAAGTGGCTGGAACCCATATTTAAACGCAGAATTTAAACGCAGAATTTCAGCGCTGTTGGCTCAACACTCCGAGCCACCAGACCCACCTCAGGAAATTACAAATTCCTACCACGGAGACCAGTGTTTCCATTGGACAATACAGCTGTTGTTTTTCCACAAATTGGTAGCTGTTTTATCGATGCCAGAGGGGTTATGAACGTAGTTGACCTTCTGACTGAAACTTTAACCTGTTTGAAATTACAAGTAACATGGTCTCCCCACAGCAGCAGCTCATCAGGCACGAGCGGAAATGTTGTCATGAATTGGAGAACGACATTTTTATCATTCCCAAAGACAATTCAAATGTCGATTGCCACACTCCTACCAGGGGACACTTGTGGTCCCTTGGCGTCTGCTGTCGCGTTGTGCTCCATTCGAGAGCCGTCGGCAGACGACAGTGGCTGGCAGCCGCTTGTCTCTGGACGTGAGAGCAGCCGCTGGCGATCATCCGCAAAGTTCCCATTCCGTGGGCCGGAACACGCCAGCCCCTGGCGATCATCCGCAAAGTTCCCATTCCGTGGGCCGGAACACGCCAGCCCCTGGCGATCATCCGCAAAGTTCCCATTCCGTGGGCTGGAACATGCCAGCCCCTGGCGATTATCCGCGAAGTTCCCATTCCGGGGGCCGGAACACGCCATCGCCCGCAGCCACAGGGACTCGGCTAGCGCTCCTCCTAGAATTCCAAGGATTGTTACTCCCCGATCGAGCGCTGCTGAGTAATTCACGTTAACCGTGCTAGGGACAACAGAACCAAAACAAAAATGTCAGCTGATAACATCTCTTCGCTGATAATGAGTGGGCTGGTGTCTGTGTCAATAGAACCAGCAATGCTAATAGCATGAGTTCGAATACTGGGATAAGTCGACGATTATAAAGACACTGGCATATTTTTGTTGCTTTGTTCACAATTACAAATACCTAGTAGGGACCCTGCATTTATTGTCTGCAACAATATTTGCCTTTGTTTTCTTGTTGCTCTGTTCACAAGGCACCACGGATCTGCCTTGTAAAATATAGCCTGGCAAGCTGGCTAAACAGGATCATCCGGCTAACAAATGACATACAAGTCAAACTAGCTCTCTGTCGTCTGATAAAGTAGGGGGCACTTTCGTAAAGATGATTCAATTTTAACAAAACTTCACCGTGAAATTACGTCGATATTTTGAGACTTAAGTTTTGGGAAAATGGGCCTAATTAATCGATGAGCCGTGTAAATAGCAAGCAAAACGTGGACAAAGGTCAAGATGAAAGGAAGTTAAGAATGGCCAGAATCCGCCGTGACTGCACTGCCAATGACAATGTTAAGACTTCACATGCAATGTACAAAATGCATCAAACGTTACTTTTTTATATAAACACCCCTAAATGAAAGGGTTCTTCAATGTTTATTTACGTGCCAATATCTACCTCGATAAAGTAGGCATTCAGTGCACATTCTTCACACATTTAACGTTACCAGTAATTTGATAACCGGTTTAAAAAAAAAAAACACGCACAAATTAAGTTATAATACTATAAACCGATATCCTGTACTGCCGTCCAAGGCACATTTGCCCACATATCACCCGGAATGTGGCCGCCGATCTCGGAAGCGAAGCTGGGGCAGAGCCTGGATCGCGTGTGGCCGTGCCGCGCGTCCCAGGTGCTACAGGCTCCTGCGCGAACACGTGGGGGCGACACACGGGGACAGTGCAGGCAAAGCCGTCATTCTACTGTACTCGACCTCTTAAAAACGACAAAATGTGCCCGCAAATATATATTTTTATATATTTAAAAAAATAATCACACACTCAACACATTCGTCAAGAGCACCGTGTGTTGTGTGTGAGATCTTCAAACAAATGGCGACGTTTCGGGCAATGGCCTTTCGTAGCACAAACGTTTCGCGTGGTTTACTCTCCTACACACCGGTGCGCTAAACCAAGTACCTGGCACGTTTCGTTTCCGTGGCGAACATCGACTTTTAATTACCTATGGCGGGGTTTAACAACACGTGCATATTTAACCCACCAAAAAATACCTCACGGATATTGTTAGCGAACGAACAAATACAACAGTAGTTTGATACCCCAAGCCTAAACATTACAATCTTGCACTACATTAAAACAAAAAAAGTAACGTTCACGCGTTTTTTTTTTGCAACGGCTCGTTCCTACTCACGTTTCACTATTCTATTCTTCGACGAACTCACCCGTAAGCGTCAATAATGTTATTTTTTTCTCCTTTGTGCGAGTTTACGATTGCTGGTACGCAAGTTTGCGGCCGTTGCGAGCGGCCAACAAAACTTTCGCACGAATGCCTCTCTCGTTTTTTTTATTTGTTAACGTCTCCGTTAACTTCGCTTCACGGCTCCGCAGGTTTTGGGTTTTGCGCGTGTCACAATAACACGGTAGTAAAAAACAAAACAAACACGTCGTCGTCGTTATCGATAACTTTAAAAATTGCGTTCACAACCAGCGCTCGTGAGGTGAGTTTGCACTCGTGAAGGCGGGAACCCGAGCACGCCGCGCGCCCACCATTCAATAATGGCGGCAAATGTTTGCCCCCCCCGCACGCAGACGACACCCATTGGGTGAAGGCGCGTCACGTGCTCATGGGGGGGGGGGAGGAGGGAGCGGTGGCGCAGCGGTTAGCAACTCGGCCGACGCTGAGTTTCGATTCCTCGGCTCGCGTGCCAAAACACCGGTGAACGATTGTCCTGAACAGGTCGTGGGCCTACCCCCCCAGGTCGACTCAGCCTTAAACGAGCGCCTGGTGCGGTGTGTAAACAAACAAAAACATCGGCACTTGGGAGACAAAGGCGGTCGGGCGTGGTTGCTGGCCACATGTCCCGTGCCGGCTTTCATAGGTGCTGGCTTACAGCGCTTGCCCCAACAACAACAAAACAGTCTGTGAAGGCTATAACGGGGGATCTTTGTCGTGGGGGCGGGTCGGCGCTTCCTTTGTAGCGATTGGATTAACGGCGGCCGACTCTGAGCCAATCAGCGGCACGCACGCGCCGGCTGCACGCGCTGGCGCCTGCTATCAAATGGCGGTCATCTCCACGTTGAGCTCCGGACGACGCCTGCGGTTTAGACTTCGGCGGCCAAACTGATCACGGTCAGTTGGTCCATTGGCTTTAATGGCAATTGCCACCAAGGATGGTTGTGTTACAGTACTTAACAAAAAAAACTTTATGTTTTTTTTTCCTGTGACAGTATGTTTTAATGTGGTGTTTTACACGCTGCCTTGAGTGAATGTTTACAATTTTCCCACGTTTAGTGCCATTTTTCTCTATGGGGCTGTCCATAAATGACGTCACGCACCTGGGGGGAGGGGGAGGAGTCAGACATTTGTGACGATGTGTGACGAGGGGGGGGGGGTGTTGAGAAATGTGACGTCACATCAAAGTGCGCAACTTTAAATAAATATAGGCAACACGTTCTACTTAGACTTTTTAAATAAATGTTTTCTCCTACAACATCAGAGTGCAGCGCCACATTAAATACGCACTACAATGACAATAGTTTAAAGCGATTTGAAGCATGTTTTATATTTTTGAGGGGGGGGGGCAGAGCTTTGTGACGTCACATTTGAGGAGGGTCTGACTTTTTGTGACGCCGTGTGACGAAGTGGGGGGGGGGGGGGGGGTCAAAAATCGTCCAAAATCGCGTGACGTCATTTATGGACGACCCCTATTCCTCCAGTGGACTTGTCACACTTTTACTAGCTAAACACAATGGAGACATTGACTGGACATCTGTAATAAAAAGAGCTTCAAAGCTCATCGGATTCCTCCAGTATAAATAAATATTCTGATACCATCATGGCCAAAGGCGCTAATGCAACCTCTCCCCACCTAGTGCCCTGGCTTCAACACCCAGTGCAAGTCTGTCAGATGCACAAACGTCCATGGCACATTTTTATTTTATTACCAGATGGATAAAACACGAATTCGGTATTAGTTTTTTTTTTAAACCGAATGTTATTTTTAGTGAATGGCGTATCATAATTGTATTTGTCAGGGTATAATCGGTCCTGATTGGACAAAGCACCTCACCTTTACTGCCATTAGCTAACTCGACTGCAGTAACAACCGTGTCCAACAGGCAAGCAGGTCTAAACTTTATCTGGGGAGGAAATTAAGTAACATTTAGAAAAATGTTTAACCGTAAACATTTCTTAAAGATAATTGCACAAGGTTGTCACTGTGGTAGGGATCGTGGTCGACTGACAGGCTCAAGAGCACGAATTCACTCACTGCGTCCATCTACCACGTGATCTGGTGATAACCATTACTGTATCTATGTTGAACTTGTTTTGCAACGTACGTAGCCAAACGAGTTAAGCGGAGGTGCGGGGGAAGGACAACAAACTAAACTTATGCTGACCTTGATGTCAGGTAACAAGTTAAAGCTCACCTCTTCTCTATCGCCCATTCTCTTCCCTCCCCTCGCCCCTCCACTCCTTCCCATCCCTTCCCTCCCCTTTCATGATCCCTAAGTACCCCTCTATCACGGTCACTCATTCCTCAATCCTTGAATGCCCCTGCCATATAACTGATTATATTCTTTTACCGTTTTTTAAACTACATTAAGTGCCTTGAGTCAAGGCGCTCTAGATAAATATAAAATTATGGATTTTGATTTTTTTTGCACCGTACGTAGCCAACCGTGCTAATCGGAGGTGCGGGGAAAGGGCAACAGACTAAACACAAAAAGCAGTTCTAAAGAAATGAGTTTTCAATCTAGATTATTTATAAGTGCATAGCTCCAGTGGCTTCCTAATATCGGAAGGAAGAGCATTGCAGATGACCGCAGAAGCTCATCTGAAAGTGCGCGATGCAGTGACCACCTTTGTTCGATGGTTCGCCAACAGCTGCTGTGCAGATGACCAGAATTTGCATGATGATTTATGCTCCTTGACGAGATCAGCAATTTTTTTATTTAAAGCTTTCGTGACTGCAGGGATTCATATTCTTGGATCTTTCGGTAAAGTCACGTAGAAGGGAAACAATAAAATATATATAAAACAATACAATTCTCACGACGTTTCGACTGCATCACAAGCAATCATCAGGTGTGGAAACCACAGCAAGAAAATTTGAAAAGAGTGGCGGTTTTTTTTCTTAACGTTCGCACCATGGTCAGCATTTTAGCAGTTGTTCCGATGGACGAGTCCATCTATGTTCGGCAAAGATGAGGGGGGAGAGGAAGATAATGGAATGCGGTCTGAAAGTCACCGTAAGCGTGAACACAATCAATTAAGACCCAAAATGGTTCATCAAATCCTTCCAATGATTGCTAAGCCAGAATCCATCTTCTCGGTTGAAATTGTCTGTGTTGTTATATGTGGATAGCCTCATGAACGAATCTCTCATGGTAGCCAGATGACTTGCAGAGAACCTCTGTCTTGGAGAAGTCAATGTCATGTGAGCTCACTGAATTACAACAGTGATCTGCCACGGCCGAGGTGTTGGTCCTACTGTGTTTTAGGTCTGCTTTGTGTTCACGGATGCAGTCCGAGACATGTCGTTTGGTTTCTCCAATGTAACTACAGCAATGTATTGTTGTTCATTTATGGTAAGCACTTTGTGTGTAATAAGTGCAACCTTATCATGAATTCGTTCAGCAACTGGAAGCCAATTCAGCTCAGCGAGCACTAGATGGGCATGGTTGGATCTTGAAGTACCCGTCACGACACTTGCCAAATAATTTTGTACATGCTACAGATTTGTAATGTTTTATTCCAAACGTCCCGTAGTCAGTTACAATAATCGAGCCTCGTCGATACAATGCTACACGCCACCGTGTTGGCTACGTCACCACTCAATATTGGCGAATGTGTTGTACAGCCCTGATGTTAAAATTGCAGGACCTAACGATATTTTGCACGTGGTGATCAAACGACATATTGTGGTCGAGTATTGTGCTGAGAATCGTAAGATACGAGTATAAAACTGAATCCTTGAGCCTGCGACCGCCACACCTGATCCACATTTTTTTTTCACCTTAACCCGAGTGTCAACCAGCAGAACCCCTGATTTTCCTGTAATAAGCAACATCTCTTTTAGTGGAAGCCACAAGTCTTCGATTAGAACTATAATCTACTGGTGGTGATCTCATGGCTTCGCGAGCTTTTGCTGTACAACTGTGTTGGAAAGATACGAGCTGTTGAACAGGTGTAAGGACAGCTAAGCCCAAGTAGCCATGGCAATCCACCGCCTATGCTCACATGTGTAGTGACCAGCAGCGTCACTACTGTGTACACACACACGCACACGTGGGATGTCACTATGCGGGGGAGCGTCACTACCACGCGGGTCTACACACACACACATGATGTCATCCCGGCTGGAGGCAGGAATGACGTCAGGGACGGTTTTGGACTTGGGAAGCCACGGGGGTGGTGTGAGGCTGTGGCACTCTCTGTGACTCCGGCTGGACACGTGACCGGATCCCAGTGGGGGCTGGGGCCCCAGGGGCACGCGGACAGCAGGGAGGCTTCGAGAGGGTTCTCGAAGGGAGGCGTGGCCAGGGCGAGGCCCGGGCACGCTGAGGCCCATATAAGCAGCCTCCTCACGAGGTTCGAGGCTGCCCGTATCAAGAAGGAAGATGCCTCGTGAAGACGCCAAGAAGGGTCAAGCCTCCAGTCAGCGGACCTGCCAGTAGCCCACCTGGCTGGGTCACGCTTGAAAAGTGTGTGTGTGTTAGCTCGAGTAGGACGGTGGTTACCACTCTATGTAACGCGGCCAGTGTTTGGTGTTAATAAAGTGTTGCCTCTTAAGAAGTGTGTGCGCCTATTTGAGCCCACTACATATGTTATCAATACATCACAAGGTTTCTTGTGTAGAAAAGGACCCAAGAGCGTTTGTTTTTGTTATGCAGTATAACGCAACAATAGTGAAAATTAAAGTAATCACTGCTGCGAAACCGCACCTCCGATTCGCGCGGTTGGCTACGTACGGTGCAAGAGGTTCAACATATATGAATGCAGTTACACGGTTGCGTATACAAAATGTGTATATTAAGTGAGACTGATAAACTCAATGTGATATTTACAATTTTATTAAACTCCTTCGCGAACAACTGTGGATTTCCCCGTTGGCCTGCGTTGTTGAGTTTGCACAGTAGTGCATGGCGGAAGCTTGAAGAGAAGAAATTCCTCGACACGCAGACCCGTCCGGGAAAAAACAACAACCCGGAAAACCACTTGGAATGAAAAACGGCTGGGTAAACCTACGGGGTTAAAATTGTTAGCAAACTCTCGAATAATAGAACCTCACAAAGCGCAACATCTCCCAAGGCACTGACGTCAATTTGCTTTGAACAAGTGCGAGCTCAGGGGTCGGCAACCTGCAGCTCCCGGAAGAGCATGTGGTTCTTCAAGGACTGCTGTGCGGCTCTTGAAATATTGAGGGGTTTTTTTATTCGAATTCGACAAAAAGGCTCACCATGAAAGACCAGTTTACCATGAAAGTCCAGTTCACCTTGGGACTCCAGTTTACCATGGGAGTCCAGTTTACCATAGTAATGCAGTTTACTATGGGAGTCCAGTTTACCATAGTGCAGTTTATCATTGGAGTCCAGTTTGCCATGAATGTGCACTTTACCATGAAATTCCAGTTTACCATGGGGGTCAGTTTACCATGGAAGTCCAGTTTACCATAGAAGTGCAGTTCACCATGGGAGTCCAGTTTACCATGTGAGTCCAGTCTCCCATGGGCATTCAGTATATCCATTGAAGTCC